AGTAAAGTTGAGCCCAGGAAGAAGGGATGGATGGGGCAAAGGTGTTTTAAGATTTGGTTTTATTTCTTATTATCCTACTCTGATTTGATTGGCAATAAATTAAACTAACTTCCCCAAGTCAAGTCTGTTTTGCCCATGATGATAATTGGTGAGTGATCTCTCCCTGTCCTTATCTCAACCCACAAGCCTTTTAGTTGTATTTTCTCTCCCCTCTCCAGTTGAGGAGGGAAGCGACAGAGCGGCTGTGGTGGGCACCCAGCATCCAGCCAGGGTGAACTCACCACAAGGTGTGAACACCAATTCCTGAACCCTTCATTTTTAAATGTCCTATGCTCACTCACATGACCAGCTTATCTCAAGTGCCTGGTATCTCTCAAGCGGGGAAGCCTGCCTCTCAGCAGAGCAGCTGGCTTGGCCTGACTGCGCTTGGCTGAAAGAATGAAAAAGTGAACACTTTCAAACTTCTGTCCCCTGGCTTTTTCCTCTCTGCTTTCTCTCTTCAGCTTTAGTTACTGAATACTAGTACAACACAAATATATTTACTAATAGCAAAGGAAACAAAGAATGAACTTCATCTAAATTTCCCCAAATAAAATGTTGTTTAGTTTGTGGCTTTTTTTTTTTCCCTCCAAAAAGATATCCTAATTAGCTCCTAATATTCCAAAGGAAGTATTATTTAATAATATTATCACTTAAGACATTTTAAAAATTATTATAGACCCTTTTAAAGAAGAATTTGCTTTGAAATGAGTCACTAACAAATACATCTGAGCGCGATTTTTCAGTAACATAATGTATAGGTCACACAGCATGATCGGTATGTTAAAGCTGCTTTTCTGAAGGCTGAACACAGTGAGCCCCAGTGTTTTCCTGGATAATCAATTATTGAATCTTTTTGGCTGACCACATTTTGCTTACAGCAGTGACAATGAACAGCTAGATTTGGAAGTATTTAATATGATGATTTACATGGTTTGTGTTTTAATTACTGTCAAATGCTTACACAACAGGATAGACACTTCATTGGAAATACAAATCAAATTTAAAAAAATAAAGTCAGTGGGATATTGTCTAGAAAATGTAACCAATATTGATCATCTTCCCTTAAATCTCCCAAGAGGCTGAACAAATCATTTCAGGAAGGCACAGTACTAATTTACAGTCACTACCCATATTTTATAGCACATGCATCAATTTGAAGTGGACAAGATAGCCTAAACTGAGAATACTGACTTGAAACATGCTAACTATGAATTGAACAATGTAATGAGTAACATTCATTCAAATATGTTTTGCTTGTTTGTTTGTTTAGGGTAACCACTATTTCTGCTCCGTAGTTCCTGGAAAAGCAATGTCTATCAACTATTGAACCTTCTTTGCCATCGTGCATTAGCACACAGAGCTGTTCCCCACTTACAGCCTGGAAGTTGCCATACGCAGAGACCTTTTTTTTTTTTTGCTAACTGCATCGCTTACCAAAATGGCTCTTGGGAGTCCACGTGAACTTCTCTTTGTAGTCTGAAAGGTCTTGCTCTACAGCTGGAGGAAGTCTCTTCCAGTTCGTGAACTCCAGGATGAAATTAAGGGCATTCTCGCTCACAGAGAAAATCCTGCATAACAAAAACTCCCATAAAATATCATTTTACACAACAGTATAAATATAGCAATGGAAACAATGCATAGAAAGCTTTACTATTTTCTAACAAATCCTTAACAACCTACATCTTAAGCCCAGAAACAGAAAACCATTAAAGAGAAATCCAAAGTAATTTTGACAGCACAAGCCTCTGCTAATGTAATTTTATTCTCCTCCATTCCTCTTCAAAAGTAAGTTAGACTGTAAGAGAAAAATATCTGCTCCGAAACCGAAATGCCTTGGTAATAGGCAGCATTCTCCCCTGCACTAATTCCTCATTCCATTTCCACCTAAATTTTAATAAGGGGTCAACACATCAGAGCATTATAAGCATCGCCATCACATTTGGGGAAAAAAATGCATATATATTCAGCTACTTATTTATTAAAACAAAACAAAAAAACCGCCATAAAATTCGCAAGTGTTTCAAGCTCTCCTTCTACTAGAGATTGCATTTATATGTATTCAGAAATCAGTATGATTTAAGTGAAGAACTTTTAACAATAGCTTAATTGACTAAAGTGTATAAGGAGGTTTAAGTAAGAGCAGGTAAAACCAACTCATTTAGTATTGAATTTAGTATTGAATGCTGAAGAGCCACACAATTTCACAGAACAGCTTCTCAGCTAGATGTGTACAATCCTGAATTTTCATCTGAATGGCAATCTAAATGCTCTGAATACACAAAATTACCAGACTAAAGATTTTTAACACACTTGCTTTTTACAAGAGGTTCATGTCAAATTTATTTTGTGTCCTTTCTAGTTTTTATTATTTCATTTTTCATATTTGACTGAACTTCCACACAGTCACCAAAAGCCATACAGGAGAGAGATCTGACTGCCTAACTTTAAGAGAATGGTGATTTTACTTTTCCCACCGGTAATTAAAATTGTCCGTGCTCTAGACTGACCAGTTTATGACTGATTATACAGTTGTTTTGCACAATGAGCCAGAGACAGTTAATGAACCATATGCACAAATGTCATTTGCTGTCTACTATCCTCCTGTTATCTTCCAGGACGAAATAGTTAATATTGAAGTTAAGACTACATAGATTATGATGTGTTATTTTAAAAAGTGGATATTTAAACAAAGTAAGTAATTGGTATAAAAAAATCTGTGGGTTATGTAACAAAATATCAAAAAGCATCACATATGATATACACAGACAGTAAGATTTGTTTATTCCCGGAATTGCGATTTTGTAGTGTGTTTACTTTTGCAATTACTTAGTCTTCTATGAATAAATGTGATCTACAGAAGCACAGATATACCGTACTTTATATATGCTCCTCTAATTACCGTTCAGAGCACCATGGATGTTAATGATTAACAGAATCTCACCAAGTCATAAATGGATGCATTTAAAACTACCAATGATATCTTAACCATGATATCTTTACAGTATCTGAAATATAAATCAGTTTAAGTAAACCTTAAAATCCTACTCCTTTCATACAGTTAAGTAATGCACATAATGCATTTATACATCTCACATTACGTTGTTAACAGCTGAGACATATGGTAGTAAAGTCTAAGCATCATCTTCACGGACAGGAAAAAACGAGAAGAAAATACAAATACTTCATAATTCTAAATATAAGTTTAATTCCATATGCCTAATTAAATATGAAACATCACCAAGCAGTTATTTGTATGCGGAAGAATTAAAAAAAATAAAAATCAAAACTTAAAAAAACCAAAACAAAACCAGACTGGAATTTTTGCCACGTTTTGTTTAACACAATCTCTAGCTGCATCTGTTTCCTCTCCTCCCAGCCTTGGCCCGGCTTCACTTTACATTTGTTTCCCATCCCTCCTGACTTCTTTCTTGGTATTTGAAAGTCTTCCTACCGTTACCATACTATACATACACATTCAGTTTGCAACTAAATTCAGGGGCTAATAGGAGATGTTCAATATACAAATTGTGAAATGATGCCCTCCATCAGGATAGCAATAAAACAATCTCTATTCCGACTTTCTTCCTAAAATAAATTTGTTTTACTGAAGCCAGTCATTACCCCTGAATGATTTATTTCAGGCTTTCCTTAAGCCTCACCATTCCTGATCATGGCAACTGATTATCAAGTACTATCCTCCAAAAGCACACGTTAAATAACATTGGCAACAGCTTTGCAGATTAGCATACAATATTTAAGTAAACAAGATAACGTTATCTGCTTACCAGAATGTGCGCATTAAATCCACCGGATTAAAACCAGCCAAGAGCAGATAAGGTAGCCATTCCTTGTACTCCTCGTGTGCTTTAATTGTGTAACTTAGGAACTCCGGTAACTGGTCCCCAGAAGGCAGTGAACAGCCCAGCTTCAAGAAGCGTTGAAACAAAGTAAACTTTTCATGGAACAGGCAATATCCCAAATTAATCCCAAGTAAGGTGATCCCGTATTTCAGGAAAATATCAATGAAATAAAAAAACCTATGAATAGCACACAGGGAACAGGACATCCTGTTAGTTTTTCCCCAGAAAGCATCTACCGTTTCACTTCTTACCTCCAAGAAAGCACATTTCCTCTACCAAAAATCCCCCCAAACCAAAGAAAAACCCCACGTGCCGTTCTGACTGCAGTTCTTTCTGGAAAGCATCAGTTTAAAATGTAGAGTTAGTTCAGGAGACCTCAGTCCCTACATTTAACTCATTTGTTCTTCTTGTCCTGGAAAACCTATGGTTCCAACCAGCTTCCAGCGCTTCAAAGCAAACCATTCGATCACAAACTGCTCAAAGTCATCAGTTACTGGTGTCTGTAACCCACAGGTATCACCACCCTCCTGATCCAAGCACCATGCCCCCTTCCTTAGGTTTCACCTTAAAAATATGTCATACGCAATAGATGGACAAGTCTGTGAAAATATCAAATGATTACACCCCACAATTCAGGGGCCAGCCTAATGTTCAAACATGTTAAGAGTTTAATTTCATCCAGCTGTATTTGCAGGAAGCTCTGAAACCCACTAAACTATTGTAAACAGTTTAAAATGTTTTTACTAAAATCAGTTTATTATTATAAATGATAATATGGTAATATGATAATGAACGAGATTATGACTGATAATTACTGTGTTGCTTTTCAGTTAGTAATTAGATGGCACATTACTTCATAGAGTTGATTTTGAATTGGTGATACATGTTACCTGCCTCATTTACAGCACATTTTTAGTAGTTACTTGGTCTGCATCCCTTCCCAGATTATTTATTGTATACTAAGAATAGGATAGAACAGGAAAAATTATGTCCAAGGATTTTTAAAGACCACTTCCTAGGAGTGTGCGATGAAAATTAGTAGTAACAAAGCCCAGAGGCTGCTTCACTGCACACCTTATGTGTCATTTATGGAGACAGGGGAAAGCACTTTCTGCCTCACACCTGATGTGTGATTTCACATGTGCTTCTTTCAGATCTGGATGAGTTCCTGCCTCAAGCAATTCAAAATCACTTGCAGCCCGAGGAGAGACAGAAGAGGCTGCACCAGGCACAGTCACTGGGATGTACTTTCACTATTTTAAAAAGAAAAAAAAAAAATTCTGTCCTTGATTTTCCCTCCTTGAAATAAGCCCTTTCAGTTCAAGTAGGATAAACTCAATCAGAATATTATTGCAATATTTTCACTTCAGGAACATTATGAATGACAGGCAAGTTATTTATTACAATTATGGCACTGTAGATTGATGGTGTACATTTGGTAAAGTTTTTAAAAATTTTCCTAGGCCAACTGTAAGAATGTGCGATCTTATTAATTAATAGCATGTACACACTTTACAAACACATATATTCAAATATATCCAGCAAGGAATATCCCAAAGTTAATTCTTTCAACAGCTTTATCGGGGGGGGGGGGGGGACACCCCCCCTCATCACCTCAAGACCACATTTTTTAATTATAACAAGCTTTCTTGTAAAAAATAATTTCTCAAATAGCCTCTACCCATCTGTGTACAAGCCTCAATTGTTTATAGGATTCAAGGCACCAAGAAGGCACATCCTGTAAATGTTAGTATTTTGGCTAAAAATGGTTGCAGGTGACAGACTTCTGGAATCTAAGAACTGTTAAAATATTGCATATTTTGCTTTTTCTCCCTTAGGTAAAAGAAATCAGATCAGAGCAGGTCCCATGTGGAAGACAAGAGGCAAGAATGAGAAACTGAAATCATGGTTCCCAAATGTAAGCCAGCCCCAAGACTATGATCTTGCATCTGCTGGATAGACTGCTTTTTCATGGGGGTGAACTAAATTCATTACTACCGAAACCTCATTAATTTAAATGGTAGCACATAAGCAATAAATTTTGATCCATGTATATTCTTGGATTCTGTTAGAATCCGAGTTTTAAGAAGATTTAAAAGCCTTTATTGATGATATTTTTCTTAATGCAGCACATTAGCCACATAACATTACTTTGCATTAATGTTCCTAAGGAGGAGTGTCTATAAAGGGTGAACTAACTAGAATTCTAGCATAATATTAAATGATAGGCAGCAGTCAGCTGAAGGAAAGAAAAAGTTTTCAAATGTATCGTCTACCACATGAAATTTCTCCGTTGTTCTACAGCACAAAGTAGGATCAGGTAACTGCTCTCAAGCCTCAATTAAAATGTAAAACACAATGACATTACAGCTCTACACAAAGCTCAGAACTGCCAAGAGGTGATTGAGATTTGATTCTTTCTCTTGATTTGAGCTGTGCCAGTATTCAATCCTTTGAATGTTATTTTATATATTGACTTTGTTTGGGAAAAGCACAAGGCAAGCTTGAGGACAGCAACATGTAGATCTTTTACAGTTACAGCCCACTCCTCCATGAATTAATTTCCCACAGAAAAAGGAGGAAGAAACTTCTGTACTAAAGGGAAAAAAAAAAGAAAAATCAAGAATAAGGACATGAAGACTACCTCACTGACATACCATATATATATACACACTTATGAGTAAGGCTTTTATACCTTATTATATTTCCTTCAAAATTATAGCCTTTGCATTATGAAATAAGCATTGTTTAATTTTTTACCAGGGGTGTGCATCAATCACCAGGCATAAAAAGAAATGGGTCATGACCTAAAAGAATGTATCATGCAGTTTCCCAGTCTTCCTTACAGATATAGTGTTGAGCTGATTAATTCTGCTTGTCTTACACACGAGTCTGGCATACAGAAAACGAAAACACTATTTTCCAATAACTCATCCATACTGAAAAGGATCTGGCTACTTAAGAGTCCTGTTGATCCAATTACAGCATTGAGTCATGTTCCCAGAAGACAGAGACGTGTCAATAAGGGCTTCTGAAAGCATGAAAACTGCAATTATGTTCTACAAGGCTCTTCTTCAAAGAGCTGAGCTTCCCTCAGGGATTGCAGCGAGGTTCTTCAGCTCGTGCATGCAATTCAAACCCCACCATTCGGATACTTACAGTTTAACTCTGTCAACTCAAAAACAGGGCAAGGAGGGCAGGAAAACTGCACATTTAAAATCAGTTAAATAAAGGCCAATGTAATTATGAATAGTTTCAATATATAAGAGATATACTTACTCTTTTTGGAAGACCATACACATGGGTGATCTGCAGTTGAAGTTAAGGCACTCCTGAGCATCTGGACTGTAGCCTTCTTTAAGTAACATTTCCAAACATTCTTTATTACCACCATATACTGCTGAATACACAGGGCTCACTTTGCCTTTGCCTTTGTCACAAATCCGATCAGTAACTGGTATCAACAACTCTAATATACTGCAAATATTTAAAAACACTACTTATTTTGTGATCGTATGCAATAATTAATTTTAAATGTATGGTCATCTTTCATATGGTCATTACAACTTAAGAAAATCCTACCTGTTTTTTCACTACTGAGTTTGCATAAAAGAACATCTGTTATCATTTCATACGTAGACCCATAACAAACATTATTTATTGCCAGCTCAAATTGATGGCAAAGCACATTTTAATACGAACCAGGGACAGGTATTTCCTATCATCCAACAATCCACTTTACAGCAAAAGAGTACCACTGCACATTAAATCCAGACTTCTAAGAAGTCTGGAAGCAAACTGAAAATGTGAGTTGCAAATAAAATGAAGATTGACTTCTGTTCAACAACACTCACTGAGATACAGAGACAGAAAAGTCATTCTCTTTCACAGCTCACACCTCCAGCCCACAACCTTTCCAGCTAACAAGGATTAGGGACAAAGATCAATTCCTTTGCTACTGGAACTTACTGGTGCTGCTCAGAGGTCACCAGTTACATATTGTTGCAAAAGCTACAAAGGCAGCATTTGATTTAAAGACATTTCTAGTACTGACAACTTTGCTAACCTATCTTCTGTTTCTGAGCAAATGAACAAAACCCAGCTTCCTCAGTATCTACTACAGTTTGCCCTCCTCATCAGTTTGAGGAGAGGCATAGATTTGATGCACAAACTTTAATGACAGCTCAGCTGATGATCTCCTTTTGCTGGGGGTTAAGATCAAGCACCTACTAATAATTTTGCACTTAGTATCATCGTTAATATATTTAAATGCTGTCACACATGTACAAATCATGGGGTTCTGGAGAGATGCTTCTCTGCCATGGCCTGCTACTCTGGGAACCTCCTTCTGCTCTTGGCTTTCTGCTGTGGAAGTGACTTGTATCATTGGGATTGGGCAAACTCTCTTCTGGAAAGACTCAGGGAACTGTTTTGTGGCTTTGATTTTCTGGCTGGTTCAGCTAATTCATTATTTGCATATGATTACTTCTGCTACTTAATGGTTAAGAATAGAATTCTAATTAGCAGCTGTTCAAGTCATGTATAAAGCATATGTTATTGTTATTTACACTTTAAAATGTAAAAGTAATATGGGTATTGACTGAATTGATATCCGGATCAGCACTGTGGAAAACCCTTTAAACTCATTAGGATATGGATCAGACCCAGATTAGATGCTGAATTAAAAACAGTTGGTCACTTAACTGGAACTACTAATAGACATTTAAAATACAAAAATAATTGCTAATTCTAAGCTACAAATCAGCTTGAGAACTCATTTTTCTTCCTTTTAGAGCTGAACTTCCTCATTGTCGATTAGGTTTTTATTACCAGAACCTCCTGTCTGAATGCCTTTTTAATCACCTACTTTTTATGGCCCATTTCAGCCGCCGCGTGAATAGGTAACTGCCAGTTATCCTCGTTGCAGTAGAGATTTGGATCTGCTCCTTTTGATAACAGCAGTTCCACACACTCCAAGTGACCCTCCTGTGCAGCAATCAGCAAGGGAGTGGCTCTGTCCTTAGCTTGACAGTTTATGTCCGCCCCTGGCAAAAAAAGCCAATACTTCACATCACCACTACAGGACACAAAATAAAATTAACAAATTAATGTTAATCAGTAATTGGTTTTCATCGAATGACTTCACAACACAACAGGTTTTCCACAGCAATAAGGAAACATTAACTAGCTTGTTGCTAACTTTTTAAACAGTCAGTGCTTTAACATTAACTCTGTCAAAGATTAGCACAACACAAGATAATCATGCCAGAGGAAAGGCAATGAGCTAGGCGATCTTTTGATTGCAATTATTTTTTAAGATTCTCCCCCTGTTTGGTAGATCAGTTAGTCCTATTTTATCTAGTCAGGTCACAGCTCTTTCAGGCTTCACAGTTATGGCAATTAATTTTGGTTGTAAGGGCACATGCACTTAGCCATACAAAACTTGTTGATTATGTGAATGAGGTTCTTGCTGTCACTTTATGACCAGAGAGAGGTATCTTCATTTACCTGAACAATATCCTATTACAAGCGCAATGTCATCAAAATCAGACCACTAACATAGTACTGTTGTCGGCTTCTAGAAGACCCTGATGATCCTTCATCTTTTCATAGTTTTAACTTGTTATTTCCTAGCTTCACTTGCTGCAAAGTACATTAAATTACCGAAACAAGATTTAAGCAATTAAGATGGTTTTGCATACCCATCTGCAACTAAAATTACATTTAAAAAGTATTAAAATTTGAAGTTATGAAGTGCAAGAGTAGAACTAAAATTGTGTGTGGTGACAGGCTGATGCACTTTACAAACAATGAAGCTAAATGAATGATCACTATTACCGTGGGATACAAGCAGTCTTAAACTCTCCAGCTTTCCATACTGAGCAGCAACAAACAAAGGTGTAATTCCAAAGTCATCCTTACATTCCTTGTTTGCCCCTTCCTCCAGGAGTATTTTCATTACCTCAGTGCATCCCTGAAATAAATATTTTTATTCTTAACCAACCAAAAAGCGGGGAATTGACATAATCTATTTTCCCCACACATTCCAAAAAGAAGTAAGAAAAAAACACAATATACTCAATATTCTAAAGATGTACCAAAAAAATTAATGGCAGAAAAAATTAGACAAGTTTAAATTAGTTTTTCACCTTTGCTTATTGACGTGATACATACAAATGGAAATTAAATTCATTTATTAGAACCATTAAGCTAATGGATTTCTATTCTGGAAAGAGGTCATACATCTCACGGATGATGAAATACTTAAATAGAACTCTTTCTGAAAAAATCTTGTAAGAGATTCACCTCCTAAATACAACACGTGAGCTTGTGAGTACATGCAATACATGCAATGCTTAAATAATCATTGCTTCCCAACATCAACATCTCATGTAGTTTCAGATACACTCTTCAGTGCATTGCAAGCCCTTCAGCAGTTAGACAACCTTATGACCGCTAGGGTAGGTTAAGAAAAACTACCCAATAAAAAGGCAAAGAAATAGATACATTATCACTCAGAATACATCAGTTCCATGGAAATTGTATGATACACTTACAGGTTACCTGAAAAGCAGCTTGGTGCAAAGAATTCCATCCAGACCAAGAATGAGGTCCTTTAACATTTGCTCCATGTTGGAGCAGAAACTTTACAATGTCTGCATGTCCATTTTCAACAGCTTCAAATAGAACAGGAAAAAAAAGGAAGAAAAAAAAATTCTATTAAATGGATTGAAAGAACTCATTGAAAAACTCAAATAGTCTCACTGCTAACCTCCTGACACAATAACCGTAATTCTTTTAAACTTGCCTTAGGTATGCTTACTTGCCTTTTACATTTAGACCCCAAAACAGTATTAGGGAACGGAAATTTATCAACAAAGTTTTTAGTTAGACTTGTTAAAATTCCACCTACGTTGTGCTAACACAGATGACAAAAGCAAGCTTCTCTCCTCACTCTTT